ACTGAACTAGTGAGTTCATGGGTACTTGGGGTTCTAGATTAGTTTGTCATGCAGAACAAGCCTAAGGAAATGCTTACCCAGAGAAGTTATGTTGGAGACCAGGGTAGAATGGTTAAAACTCCTTTAGTGGCTCCAAATAATTGGGTGTTACTAAAGCACCCAAAAATAAAGGAACCAAATATGGTTCCAATAATTTTTAGGTCTCAAAGGAGAAAAATCCAACAAAGGTACACTCAGTACCAAAAGGATCTGAAGGCAAATGGAGAGAGTTCTTCATTGGCCTAGCCAAAATGCCAGACAGAAGAAAGAAAAAGTCCAAAATTAGATCATAGTCTAAAATTGACTCCTTAGAACAAAAGAAATTTCAGCAAAGAGCAGTTGGCTAAAGTTCACTCTGAACTGAAAGCAAAGGAAAGATTCCAGCTTAGCAGATCTTGAAAAGGCCTTGACAGAAAAGCGACAGTGAGACAGAAGGAGAAATTGACCTAGGCCAAAAAAAGAAATGGTTAAGAAGGAGATGTTTGAAGCCTTCATGGCTGAACAGACATTTTTTGGTTGAAAAACTAGCAAGAACAGACCATTCAAAGGAAGTCACTAGTACTGAAGTATCAGAATGCAACATGAAAAATACTTCTGAAATAACTGAACGAGTTAGCTTAGAAAAGAAGCAGGTGCAACCAGTGGTTTAGTTTGGCTCATTTCCTACAGTGTCAGTGAATATGATGCATATACTACCACAGGAGTTCTAGGCTGAAATGGAAACCAAAAAGGTCAAGAGATTGACCCTATTCCAGTTTCTAGTGAAGATTCAAAGGTTAGCATGCTTCAAGATGAATCTGAAGTGGCCACACCCAAAATCCCTCTTCCTTTTTATTTTTTTAAAAATAGAAAAAGACTCAAATGGACTATTAAATATTATTATTATTTTTTATGAAAAATGTAGACAAATAGTGAATAATAAAAAATAAAAATTAATTGAAAAAGCTACTTCACAGCTTATTTAACAAACACTACTCAGCAACTTAAATCTATAATCCAACAGCTATACCAAACAGATTAACCGCTTCTGATTAAAGTCATAATCTATAATCTGTTAAGCTATAATCTATAATCTGTTTTAACAGCTACACCAAACACCACCAATATTTGATAAAGGGGGAGATTTGCCCTAATTTGAATTAAATGAGTTATTTTGTATAAATAACGAGATTGACTTGGAAATTATGGAATTGAAGGAACATGTGATTAAATGGTGTAGTTGGATTAATAAATCACTCACCTATGGGAAAAGTTGATAAATTATCTGCTGATAGATTTATTTATCTGTTTAGAAATATCTGTTTTGGGCTATCGATGGAGGATAGCCATCATTGTTGTAGAAATTGCATGATGATTAGGTGAATTGAAACTAATCAATTGGATTATGTCATTGAATATGACGGTTTGATTAAAACATTGAATATGTGATTTAATTGGTCATTGTATATGACAACGTGTTTAAATACATTGTATATGTATCTTTGTTTGGGAGGAGATAGGAGATGTACTCCATTGTTTGGGAGGAGATAGGGGATGGACTCCATTGATAATTAAGTTGGCCAGAGTGTCTAGGGTGAAAGTCCCAAAATCTTATATATATTTGGGTGCCGATTCCCTCGAACGTAGTTCCGTAAAATGGCAAGAAATGGAAGTGTATGAATAAATGTTTATGATTGAAGTATTCATAAATGAGTTGTAGTTTCATTTTGAATTGTTTAGATGACGATGATCTATGTCCATGAATTGATTTGGATAAGTAAATGTAAGTGAATGGAAGTATGGATGTCAATGTTGATTGGTTATGAAAAAGGTGTAAGTTGGTTTTCAAGTATTAAACATTTATCGGATGCTAATGTTTTAGTTAATTCTCATATACTGTTTAGCATATCTCTACTAGGCTTTGGCTCACCCTACTTGGACACCATTTTTCAGGTACAGAGGACATGCCACCTCCAAGGACATAGCTTGGGAGGTTTAGGGGTGGAAGACTCCATTTTACATATTTTGTTTGGTGTTAAATGTAAAATTTCAAGCCAAGGGCTTTATATATAAAGAGTTAGAACTCTTTTTTTGTTGTAACCAAGTGTTAATTTGGAAAACTATAAGCCCTTTGGGCACTTATTTTTGTTGTTTAGAAGTTAGAGTTACATACTATAGTTTCAAGATGAATGTTTATGAAAATGTAATGCATATAATATCTTTTGTAAAGGAAACTTTGATGAATAAAGAGATAATGTTTCCCCTATGTTTATGACAATTAGTGAATGGTTGTCTTGTACTTTTTTTTAGGGCGTTACACTTAACTTTATGTAATCATTATTGGTAAATTCACCACTTTGGGCTGCGAACCTGGCAATGTGTTCTACTGTTGATTGGTTTCCATTCCCATAAAAAAGAGCAAATGCTGGTATTCTAAACCCCCTTGGGTATTCATGCACTCTATGGTTTCCTAAACACAATAGTTTGAATCCGTAGAGCCATAGGACCACACATTTCTCTGACAATATCTGCAATTTGGTCCCTAGGAATCATATTTTGTGCTTGTTAGACTACCACTAGAGGAACAAACACAGGATTTGATGGAGACCCTTGTGCCTGAGGTCCTTTTGGTCCATAGAGAGGTATATTTGGGACTGGTTGTCCTTGTGATACTGGCTGCTGTTGAGGGTATGGTTGACCTCTCTGAGCCTGACCTGCGAAAGGATCTACAAAAGGTGTTGTAATAGGAGGAACATGTGTTGTTTCTCTCCTAGCTATAGGAAACCTTTCTAACCCCTCAGGTGTGAATTCGAACAAGGGATTAGTAATCCCCTTGCATTAGGTACGACTTCGAACATGGGATTTAGAAACATTCTCATGCCATTTTCTTGTGTTGGCCCAGATCCACCAATTTGTATGGCTTCGCTGTTAGGTAATGAGACATTTTGATTTATCATAGGCCTCGAAAGAGGCTCATACCAAGACTGAGGTATAAGTGATGCTCTTTCATAATTTTGATTACTAATCTGACCATTAGTATGTCCATTACTTTGCATATGTTGTTTATCTCTAGCCAATCTTTGTTGAGGAACATTTAAATTTTCCTCCATATGCCTTGTGTTAGCTGGTTGATGAGAATTCATTCTATCCATAAAGGATATTATCCATCTTTCCATTGTGTTCATTAACTGCTGTCCCATGGCATCTACCAAGCCTCCCTATGAATTCATTGGTTGAGTAGATGGAACAACGGATGGTCCAATTCCATAGCCTCGTCCAATATTTTGAACATGTGGTGCATGTTCTGAATTACTGGTATGTTTGACCATAGTTTCTGATGAGATAGGTGCTTCCATAGGATGTGTTATCACATTATCTTTTAGATCAGGTACCTCTACCTCTCCTTCCACACCTTCTTCCAAGCGTTCATTTTGTCCTTATCTCTTATGTCTAGCCATGTCAATTAATCCCACTGGGCGTGCCAAAAATATATGTTAGCTTTTTTGACTTTCGAAGGTTAATATTATAATTTTAAGCATGCCAGCAAGGATCAATCAGTCCTTACAGAAGATTAATTACCAACCAATTATCAGACGAGTGTGTTTTAATTCTCTCAGCCTCAATGAAGAGGACTTTTCCTATGGCTTGTTTAGAAGAATTTAGTAAATAACAATTAAGTGAAGAATAATTTCAGAATTTCATTAAGTAAAAATGAAAAATTTACAATGATCTGACGCAGGCTCGTAGAGGTTTATAGTAACGGGCTATTTGAAACTACTCCTATGAATGAAGTGCAGTACAAGAATTTGAAATATAGAAATGTAAAAAACTGGAAGGGAAAACAAAGTAAATAAAATTGGGTTTTTGACCTGAGTCTGGATCCTTCACTCTAGGGCCTTTTCTGCTATTTATACTTCTCAATGATAACCGTCGAAGTGGGTTTCTAACTGTCGAAATGTCCTCCTATGATTGCTGAACATGCTCTCTCACAGTTAGCTCTACTATGCCACATTTGCAGTTAGACTTCTTTCTTGATTTTGAATTTGAATTTGAATTTTATGAGTAACTGTTAGGCCACATCACCTTATATTCCTCGATCGTTCCAGTGCTACACAAACTCATTATTATCAATATGGGCTGATACGTGTTTGATTGTGATTGACAACTTGTATTAACTCCCTAAATTGCCCTCTTTATGCCATGTGTTGAATTGTGATTGATTTTTACAAATTATACAACCAACAATTATATATATAAAAATTATTATGTAAATTAATATTTTATATTATACAAATATTTAATAATTTATTAAAATATTTTTCAATCTAATTAATCCACGTAAGATCGTTCAAATTACGATTCAATTTATAATTTTAGTAGAAGTGCTGTAGACCTCTAATTAAAGCTGCTACAGTATAGCTTTAATGAGCTGTCCACTTATAAAAAAAAAATAAAAAAAAAAATAATAATAATAAAATAAAAGACAAAAAATAGAGAGAAAGACGACAAATTAATACTTCATTAAAAAGAGGTCTAAATCATTTTTGATAGTAATTTTAATTTCGAACGGCCTAAACAACACTGGGCCCTTACTTGAAAGCAATTTCAATTTTGTCGTGTTTGTAGTTAAAAATTAGTGGAAGCAGGAGGAGGATATTGTCGTGATGGATTATTATCAAATTAGTATTTTGTGTAGCCTGTTTCAACTTATAAAAAAAAAATAAAAAAAAAAATAATAATAATAAAATAAAAGACAAAAAATAGAGAGAAAGACGACAAATTAATACTTCATTAAAAAGAGGTCTAAATCATTTTTGATAGTAATTTTAATTTCGAACGGCCTAAACAACACTGGGCCCTTACTTGAAAGCAATTTCAATTTTGTCGTGTTTGTAGTTAAAAATTAGTGGAAGCAGGAGGAGGATATTGTCGTGATGGATTATTATCAAATTAGTATTTTGTGTAGCCTGCTCTGCTCTGCTCTGCTCTGCTCGTCATCCTCATTTCTCGCTCTCATCTCATCTCACTCCATGTTGATTTCTTGGAAGAGTTCCAGCAGCAGCGTTACAGCTCGATCATCATCATCCAATTACTCTGTATGTCGGCGGCGCTGCAGCATAAAAAATGCTGCTTCCATTCTCAAAGTTGCTTCTCCTCTTCGTCTTCATTGCTGTCTGAGAATTGAGGATACAGCTGTTGAGTATCATCAGGAACTACTTCACTCCCAATTGAATACAAACAATGACACAACCACCACCCAAAACCATGACCTCAAGAAGAAGCCTGACCCTGAGTCCAAACAAGTTGTTGGTGGTGGTGATGCAGGAGGAGGAGGAGGAGGAGTCAATGGAGAAGAAAGTAACAACGAGGCGGGCATAACTGGAATTCAAGTCCCCAGACAGCGATACATTCCCATCTCTAAGTCTCAGCTTTTGGATTCCATTCTACTCATGTTTGACTCCCAACAAGAGATTGATCATTTTCTTCTCCTCTCTTCGTAAGTTTCCACCCATAACATAAAACCCTAATGCTCTATTTGCTTCCTATCAAATCATTATTTTATTTTTAATTCATTTGTCGTTATCTTTTTAAACTAACCAAACATAAAAATGAAAATTTTGATAGAATTAATGATTATTCCATTCTACCTCATTCCGGTGAACCAAACAATACACTACCTAACCCAACCAAATTCGAGAATATATATATATATATATATATATGTGGGGTTGGATTTCAAGCGAGGTTATAAAAATTTTGTTCATTAAACCTTATATTTTCTTTAATGATGTAATAATTAATTTGCCCCATCAATATCCTCACTAGGTAGGAGGATATTGATGCAAGAAATTTCTATATTGATAGTTTTTTCTTCCATAGAGAGATCAGTCCTATTCGCCCACAGCTTTGTGGTTCATGTTCAAGTTCTGGGAATCAATTTCTCCACAAAAAAAAGTGGGGGGAAAGGTTACTTACTACCTCTCCCCAACCCTATAGTTTTGTTTTATCCTCGATGCAAAATCGAAAGACTGTGATGACAATGTAGGAAACTCTCGAAAGTTTCGTGATTTCATCTCCTTCAACCTTGCTGTTGTTTAAGACTAACGGAAAATGTATCTACTTATTTCACTTCAAATTCCTGATTCAAATACAGTTTACACGTTTCTGTAATTGTAGGTGCCTGGATTCTATTCTTCACGCCGAGCACAAATGCATTTTAGAGGAAATGCGATTGGACTATAACTATACTCATTCGACCGAAGAGAAGGGAACTAGTCGGAATGGCTCAGATTGTTCAGAAAAAGAAGTCATAGCCAATGGAAATGAATCTAACTCGGCTATAGAAAACACAATTGGGATTGGGAACACGGAAGAATACAGTGAAGACAAGATTGAACCGGAAATGCCAATTTCTTCATATTTTAGCCTCGACTTGAGACATCTCTTGAATTCTTCACCCAAAAATGTCAAGAGAAATTCTTTAACGGAGTCCAGGTTCATTGCTTCTTTTATTGCAGAATGAGTAGACTAGCTGATGTCATGATAGTGAGAAGTTATTTGGTGGTCTTGGAGCAATACTCCACGCCATTCACATTGCGCTACTTGTCCCTTTGTCTCCTAAAAGCCAAGAAAAAAGCGGTGGGTCTCATTGTTTCAACCAATGAAACACTAATTGGGGCACTACATGGATTTGCCCCAAGACCATATAATCTTCCCATGATAGTTTGATATTGGTCATGTATGGTTGCTCCCTAATATGCATAGATACTGATGTAGGACATGTACATAGCACAATATGGACATGCAAACTTGATATTTGTTAAAAATTAGAACACAGACATGTTGGTAACACATTGAATACTATATATATGCATATATTATAAATCCATAAAAAAACTAACATTGTTTAATTAAATTAGAGATAACAAACACACAAATAACAATAATATTATCAAGATATCAAAACAAGAAAACCACTAAATAAATTTCAAGAACTATGCATCCATCGCATTTTTCATGTGATCATCATTCAAGATTTTAAATTTTTTTCGACGGTAATCAAACAGTTCATGATTCCACATTTGATACATATAATCAAAAGATTGTCCATTTAGAAATTGGCCAACAACTACAATGAAGGAAAATATTAAAGAGTGATTCATTGGCAGTGGTATTTTCAAATTTCGTGCAAAAACAGTTAAAAGACTTCAGTGAAAGAAAATATGAAAGAGTAATTTTCTAGTCTATGGTATCATCACTAAATAGTTAAGGTCCTTAAGATTTGATTGTATTCTTATTTTGATATATTTCACATATTTCCATTAATTGTTGTGTACTACATCATCATCATAATATTAATAATAATAAATATTTGTACTTTTGTTGGATAAATTTTTTTGAGTGATATAATTTGTTTTTTCTTCACTCATGAGAAGTTACATACCCGCACTGACCCCTACTTGTTGCTGCTTATGTATTTAGTTTGCCATAACTACGACCAAATCTATCTTTTGTTTTTGAATCACGAATCACTGTAGTTTCTTACTTCTTATGTGGTGTGATTTTATTTATCTACTGATCGTGTGCTTATTTATTTTATTTTATTTTTTGGGCAATGATCTGGAACAAGTTTATATGCTGTTTCAGTTTGATAGTTATTAATGTAGACAATAAGGTCCTTATTTTTAGTTGCTATGGAGCATTGTTTGAAAACCATCTAACAATTTTTGGTATTTTTGCATTCTTTGATTGTGTTATTTTCAGAAATAACACCAGGATTTTTTGTATCATTGCTATGGGTGTCCCTTGGTACGGATGCATTGGTTGGCTTTAGGTGCAATGAGCTTTTGCCCATTTTTTGGGTCTTATATGTATATGTACATATAACGGAATCGTGTCATTGTTCTTATGGTAGCATGACTCATCATTTATGCACAAAGATGTTTTAGGCGAAGTTCATACTTATTGTGATTGCCTTTTCATACAGATAAATTGTGATCAATATTATAGTAATATTTTAAGATTCAAATATTGTAATGACTTAATGGCTTTTTGAGAAGGAAAAACCATTGAATCATGTTGAGGGTGTTGACACCCTATTTTACTCTCACCTCTAAAAAGAGTTAGAGAGGAAAACTAAATAGATTTGAATCATGTTAAGTGCATCAAGAGGGTAGATCTAAAGAGAGGCAAAAGATTTACTTTTATAAACTGTTACATGAAAATTACACAGGGAACTTTGGTTTGGAATGTTAACTTGATAAGGTAGTTTTGGAGATTAGAGAGAAAATTAAAAATTACAAACTAAAAGAAAAAATGGAATATTGGTGGTCATGAAATGTCTGGAGAGAAAAGATGTCAATTAAACTACTAGAAAAAATCAAAAAGATATGAGGTCTAGTGTCATTAAAAAAACCATTTTATGTTGGTGCATGTCACTGGTGCCTCGTTCATATAATGGAATATAAACAAATAGCTTGAATAAAAACACAATTTACAAGTATATAATTGTATATATAATGATATATTATATACATGTACATATTTATCAAAAAAAAGATATATTATATACATGAACATAGTTATTTGGGTATGTAAGTGCACATATATGAACTATTTAATGACAGTTTGGATCAAAGTAAAACATTAAAACAGCTTCTTGTATCATGCCAAATAGTATCAGGATTTGACAAAATTGTACTAACATGCTTGAAGGAAGTATACAATTCCTAATTAGTGCATTGTTCATAAAGAGATTGTCGAGTCGATAGACCATTTATTGCTTCGTTGTTTGGCAGGCATGTGTGAGCTTGGATTTCTCTTTTTTCAGGGGTTGGTGGGTCATGCCTTGATCTGCCTGTGATTTCATGTCAAGTTGGTAGATTAATAACTGTACCAAGAGGAGTGCTGGTGTTTGGAGAGTTCTTCCCTATGCTTCGTTCTGGGGCATTTTTAAAGAGAGAAAATAAGTTTCTTCTACTTTGTTGAATCTTCAAGTGTATAGTTAAAACTTTTGATGTGTAGGAACTATTGTCTTTTGAGGCTCTTGGGGGAAAGGGGAACTTCTTTTCTTTCATTAATTCCATAAATATTTGTCCTTTGTTACATTTTTTGTTTTTCATTCTTTTGTGTGTAAAACCCATTTGTCCGTTGGTGGTGTCCTATTTTTTACTTGTCTAAATAAAACTCTGTTAAAACCATACATCAAACTCTGTAGATACAGTTTTCAGCACTTGTTTATTCCCTCTAAGATGATTCAGTCAGGCAATGGTTTTGATGAGAACAATGAATTCACTGAATGACATGCTCTGATGGTTGTTCAATTTACTGATTCTCATTATTCAGCTTCATGCTTTAGTTGGATCTAACTGATTTTGCAAAATTGCCTGTAGAGTTGCTGTTGCCACTCGTTTCCAGCGTGCTTTCGTGCAGCTTCTTTATAATGCTCAGTTTGAAGAGCTATCAGCCAGGGATTTGATTTTGACATCTGCATTAAACAGTGATTATCTACTTACTTTGCCAATATATGTTGACTGGAAAAGAGCATCCGAGTCCAATGCAATAATATTCAGGTGAATTTTGGTTACATTTATACCTAATTATGCATCTTCTTATAAGCATGGGCAGATTTTTTATTTTTTTGGGTAATTGCAGATTTTTTTTTTGTTAAGCTAAAGCATTAAGTATATGTATGCTCTGTTTGTAGCTGTAATAAAGGAATATAAATCATATCATAGACTTTGGATTATTACCTGAGAAAGACACAGATGATTAACTATGTATACTAATATTAGAACTGGGTAATCAACCTTACCTTTTATGATTATATTTGGGACTTGTCTTAAACTATAGTTTTATACTAACAACTATGACTGTAAAAGAACAAAGAAAAAAAAAGGAAAGAAAAGATGGTGGATTGAGTAATGATGAGCCTAAAAAAGATAATCTGCCCAAAATATATGATTCTTTCTTGAATGGACCACATTGTGGAACAGTACAAAATTTATGGAAAAGAAAGAATATATTTTACATTTCAGCCCGGTTTGTCAGCTTTTTGGAAAATGATACAAAGTAAGATGTCCTTGTTCATAATAGAAAAACTATCCTCTGATGAATTGTACAACCATTGGGTTTCGACCGACAAACAAAAACGTAACAATCTAAACAACAAGCTTATGAATAGAATTGAGATTCTATCCAAAGAATCTCTATTATGAGAATGCTCACTAAATAATGCAGTAACTGTGAGAATATATTGTATATATGGCATGGTCATGTATATTAGGAATTAGGTGTATGTATTTCCTTTTTCAGTCATTCCTTGTTCAGCCATAGATTAGGGCTATATAAACTAATGAATACTTTGTAAACATACACAATTGAATATACATAAAAACCTTCAGAAATCTTACATGATATCAGAGCTATCATTCATTCTGGCTTCTGATTGATTGAAGTTCCTTCTTCGTTCAAACTTTCATCTAGTTCAGAATCTGCCTTCGTTGAAATCGCAACCCCTCGAGCACTAGAATCACGACCCATCCCACCTGGTTTGAAACTCCTCTAATTCGCGATTGAACAACCTCCTCTGGCTCGACGGACTCAACTTTTGGCTCACAAGGTTGAGTTTTGGTTCTGATTCTGGTTTTGGACTCGATCAAGTTCTCTGGTGGTCGACCCATCTGTGTTCATCGTGACCTATATGAGTTCGAGTCATGCCCATCGACCGTAACCATTTGATTCGCCAAAATCTTGGTCGTCTCCATCTGGTTGTGCGAGGTCTACTCTCTGTCTCTCTCTCTCTCTCTTGTTCGACTGGTTCATAGGGTCAATCTGATATACATAGGGTCATCTGATATACATTACTTTGGTCTATTTTGGGTTTACTATACTTAAACCCCTCAGCTTTTTAGTTATTATCCTTCGACCCCTGGTTTGGTTATTTTGTTTTATTTAGGGTTTATTACACTTGAACCCCTCAATTTTCTAGTTACTATGATGTTTCTGGCTTTTGATGAGTGTGCTTTTTGCCATCAGAAAGGCCATTGGAAGTATCATTGTCCAAAGAAGGGATGTTTGTCTGCTTCGCCTGTGTCTGCCTCGTCTTCTCAGCAGTTTTTGATCAAGTTCTACACTCCTCTTCTGAGTACCATTCGGCCTCCCACTGGTTTTACTGCATCTACTCCGGCTCTTGATCCTGACTTGGCTTCATTGACTACTCAGATTAGTCCGTTTCAGCATACACTGATTAGTCAGTTTCAGCATATATTGTTTATCTCTCAGCTATTCTCGTCTGCCTCCATTGTTTCCTCTCTTCATTTAGGTTTGCTGGGGTCTTCTTTAGGTATTTCTTCGTCTGTCTGGATTTTTGACTCCGGTGCCTCTCATCATATGACTCCCCATCTCTTTTTACTTTAAAATTGTACTCCTTCTCCCTTTCCTATTACTGTCAATGCTGTTAATGGGTCTGGTATGTCTGTTATATCTGTTGGGTCTGTCCTACCGTCTACTATGTTTGCAGTCTCTATTCCATCTGTCTTATATGTTCCTCAGTTATTTGTTAATTTATCATCTATCAGGCAACTTGATGCCTCTAGTTTTGATGTTATCATTTCTTCTTCTATCTGTTCCGTGCAGGATCGAATATCCAAGCAACAGATTGAGACTGGCTATAGAGTTGGAGGCCTCTATGTGGTGGAGAGCTTGCATTTGCCTATGACTACCTCTCCGGCTGTTTGTTCTTCTTTTCAGTTAGATTCTTTGTCAAGTCCTTTCTGTTTGTGGCATTCCAGATTAGGGCATTTGTTTGCTGACCGCTTACGGTCTTTAGCTCTGTCAGGTATGTTGGGTAAAGTTTCTCCTAGTTAACTTACCGAGTGTCGGGGGTGTAAACTTGCCAAAATGACAGCCTTATCTTTTCGTAAAAGTACTTCTATATCTGCTACACCATTTTCTTTAGTTCATATTGATGTTTGGGGCCGTTCTCCTGTTCTCACCAAAGGGAGTTCTGCATACTATGTGTCATTTGTTGATAACTGTACCTGTTACACTTGGGTTTATCTTATGACTCATAAGTCCGATTTCTATCAGATATATCGTACCTTTCAGTCTATGATTACTATTCAGTTTGGGTCTACAATTAAAGTGTTACAGTCTGACTTGGGTGGGAAATATTTTAAAAATGAGTTTTGTGAGTATTTGGCCAATTTGGGTATCATTCACCAAACTTCTTGTACAGATACACTTGCCCAAAATGGTCGAGTTGAGCGTAAACACAGTCATCTCCTTGAGACAGTTAGGTTTCTTTTTCTCTCTGCCTTAGTTCCGACAGTTCTTATTATTGCTTTTCTTTTCAACCGCATGCTTACTCCCCTTCTTTCTGGTCGGTCCCCTTATGAGGCTTTGTTCTCCCAAATTTTTAACTACTCCCTTCTTTGTGTGTTTGGGTCTGCCTGTTTTGTCCTTCTTCCTTGCAAAGATAGAACCAAACTTAGTGGCCGGTCTGTCCTTTGTGTCTTTTTGGGTTATAGTCCTACTCAGAAAGGCTATCGGTGTTACGACCCTGTTTCCCGTCGCCTTTATGTCTCCTGTCATGTTTATTTTCTTGAACGTCTACCTTACTTTCTATCGGTGTTACGACCCTGTTTCCCGTCGCCTTTATGTCTCCTGTCATGTTTATTTTCTCGAACGTCTACCTTACTTTCAGTTTCCTCCACTCACCGCCCCAGTTTTCAAAGAGGATTTGGTTTACATTGATCTGTTTCCTTCTGAGGTCCTGTCTGATGAGTACATCTCCACAGTTTGTCCTGAGTTTGTTTCATCTTCTCCTTCTATTTCACCTCTGGCTGCTTCTCCTTCTTCAGCTTCTTCACCTCCTCCTTTAGTTTATTCTCGTTGCAAGGCTCCTCCTCTACCAGTTGTCTCTGCCCTTGATGCTGATCCTCCTGCTTTTGATGACTTTGATCCTATTGCACACCGATATCCTACTCGTCAGTGTTGTCCTCTAAACAGTTTGGGTTAGTCTAATACATGTTTTTCTGTTTCCTATCCTACTTTTTTGTCTATTATTCATTCTTTTCCAGAACCTCAGTCTTACACGGAGGCCTGTTAGGATCCTAATTGGGTTCAAGCTATGGAGGATGAGTTATTTGCCTTGCAGAAGACTAACACTTGGGAGTTGGGTCCTTTGCCTGCTGGCAAGAATCTGGTTGGTTGCAAATGGATTTATAAAGTCAAGACTCATTCTGATGGTTCTCTCGAGCGATACAAAGCTCGCTTGGTTGCAAAAGGTTTCTTGTAGGAGTATGGTATTGATTATGAGGAGACATTTGCCCCTATTGCCAAGATGACTACTGTCCATACCTTGATTTCTATTGTTGCTATTCGACATTGGCCTCTTTATCAGATGGACGTTAAGAATGCTTTTCTTAATGGTTATCTCACTGAGGAAGTCTATATGCGTCCTCCCCTTGGCCTTCTCCACTCCTTTGGGCAAGTTTGTCATCTGCGGCGTGCTCTGTATGGTTTGAAGCAATCTCCTCGTGCTTGGTATGATCGCTTTTAGACTGCTGTTATCGAGCTTGGGTTTCATCATTCTGTTTTCGACTCTGCTTTGTTTTTGAGACATACCTCGGCTAGTTTTGTTGCTTTCTTACTCTATGTGGATGATATGATCATTACTGGTTCTGACTCTTCTGCTATCTCTGAGGTTAAGCAACATGTCTTCCGCATCTTTGAAATAAAAGATCTGGGTCCATTGCGGTATTTTCTTGATATTGAGGTTGCCTCTTCTCCAAAGGGTTATTTCCTGTCTCTGGGAAAATATGCTAATGGGGTTATTCATTGTGCCGGTCTTACTGATACTAAGATTTCTGATACACCTATTGAGCTTAATGTCAAGCTCAACTCTATTGATGGTATCCCTGTAGATGATCCCACTATCTATCGCGAGTTTGTAGGTTATTTAGTTTATTTGACTGTTACTCGTCCTGATCTTGCTTATGCTGTGCATGTGGTTAGTTAGTTCGTTTCTGCTCCTCGCTCTACCCATTGGGTTACTTTGGTTCGCATTCTTCGCTATCCCCGGGGTACCATCTTTCAGGGTTTACTGTTGTCCTCTGCTTCCTCTTTAAACTTGGTAGCTTATGCTGATTCTGATTGGGCTGGTGATGTTAATGATCGCAAGTCCACCTCTGGTTTCTGTATGTTTCTTGGCAATTCCCTGATCTCTTGGAAAAGCAAGAAACAACTGTTGTTGCTCGCTCTGCTGCCGAAGCTGAGTACCGTGCTATGGCTCATGCTACTGTTGAGCTTGTTTGGCTTCATTGTCTTCTTTCTGATTTGGGTGCCCCTTAGTCTTCTCCGACCTCTCTCTATTGTGACAACCGCAGTGCTATTCAGATTGCCCACAATATTGTCTTCCATGAACGGACGAAACACATTGAGATTGATTGTCACTTTGTCCGACAGCATCTACAATCTGGCTCTCTCTCACTTCCGTTCGTCTCTTTGGCTTTGCAACTTGCGGACTTCTTCACCAAGACTCACACTACTGCTCGGTTTCAGTTTTTTC